TCTTTTTGCTTATGTGGTGCTGAGGAATCGAACCCAGGGCCTCATGCATGCAAGGCAAGCGCTCTACCACTGAGCCACCTTCCCAGCCCAAAAGTCATTTCTTGAGATTATAGAAATGCATTCTGTATTCACCAGGAAGTTGAAATGTTAACAGAGAGAAAATAACCCTGTTGATCTAACAGTGAAATAGATGTCACTTTGTCATCTTTTCTGCCAATTGCCACCCAGGCACTCCTCTTGCACATCCATTTTATCTGCCACAATCTGAGATTCCTCTTAATTCTGTACAACGACAACAGAGATAGTGAGCTAACCTGCCATTTCCTCCAGTGACTTTGATGACCATTTAGGTTTGCTAGAGTGTTCAAAAGTTCAAAAAGTGCGTCGTTTTATTTCTTTCCTTCATCTCCAAGTACTACCACAGAAACAGTACAAAGTGTATGCCTGACACTTCAAGGCAGATTTGGCGTATTTCAAAATCATTCTAAATTCAAGATATGAGAAAAAAGGGTGGCTGCAAAAACTTTTCTATTTTAGAAGAGCAAAGCCAGGTTATCCTAAAATTTCTTCCATCTTAGAACTGACACTATCTGCATGCTATAAAGTTTGTACCAAATCAAGGCCCTGGATGGACAGGATCAAGACTATTAAACTGTGGAAGCAGCAATCAGAAAAATTTAATTTAAATCTATTCTTCACTTTAATATTAGCAAGCAAAAGACAATTACCTCTTGCTACTTGCTAAGTTAATATTAAGCCTGACTGATGACAATCACTTTCATAAGCACAGATCATACACATTTCTCCATTGCATTATCTCAAGTAATACAGATGCTTAAATATTTGGAAGACTTCAGTATTTTGAAAGAACACTATTTAGAATGTGGTCTATAGGAAAAAATGTTCATTTCTCTGGTTTTACTTCTCAAAGGGAGGCTGAGAATAAACACAGTGTTGTCCTCAACATGTTACTGCTGACAACACAGGAAACAGGACATGGTTTTTCCACCTTCCAATGAAGTTTGAAACTGAAATTTAACCTGAAGTGGAATTTCAAAAGGTAGAAAAAGATTCTGAATTGAGAGGCAGTGATTTCCTCCTTATCTAGAGCATTGTTGACATTCCTCATGTGCACAGCAACCCTATGACTCAGGTACTCCTATCTTCCAATAAAGGCTTTAAACTTACCCCCCATCCTCCATCTTTCAGTTCAGGACATGCCAAGACTGAGGGCAAATTGCCAAGTCCATGGTCTTATCCACTATACTATGCTATCACTATTTACTGGGAAATTTCCCTAAGTAAAATGTATATGTAAATTTCTACACTGGGGTAGTAAGCAAGGACTGTAAACTGCACCAAAACTTCAAGACTGGCATAGATGAACTAAAGCTCCAAGTGTTTGGCTAAGCAAATTCATACTTCCCAAGGCCATCAGACCATTTATTAACAGAAGATAGGCAAGAACAAATGGACTAGGAAATAGCAATAAATGTCTAAAAGAGGCAAGGTTTGATGATCTCTTCGGGTTGTTTTCAAAACAAAAAACATTCACTCAGGAAGGATGCTCAGTTTTTCATCTATGGGCATGAAGATGTCTACTCTGAAAAAAGGCCCAAGGCGATACAGATCGAACTATCCAACTGTCAAACAATTGAAACTTGCGGTAGGTGTGTGGGACTCTTACAATAAAGTTGGGAAATGGTCCCAGATTCATACAACCCTATCCAATCCTAACTCTTATCCATTCTCAAAAGTCCATCATGAGATAGGGAGAGAAGCATTACTGTGAGAGGATCCAGGCTTGAAGAAAGACTGATCTGGGTTCTCATCACTTAAGCTAGGAGATGTACTTCAGGAATTAGGAGTCTGACTTCCCTTTAAGCTGATTAACCTTCAAGATATAATTGTTCACCTCTAAGCCTTAAGTTTCTCTAGTTATAGAAAGAAGACAAAACTTACTTTTTACCAAAAAGTAATACACCACTCACACCAAAACTGGGACACAGAATCATTTTCCTTTTGGATTTTCTAACCTATGACTTATTTTAGTCCCCTCTCCTCTCTGAACAGATTCTTAGCTACTTGTTATCTTAGGACTTCAAACCCCTTTGCCTCAAGGAGCACCAATTCTTCATAAGTAAAACCACTTCTCTGCCAGCCTCAGAGGATTAAGGGAAAAAAAAGGATTAGAATGTGAAAAGGTGGGAAAAGTAGTTTTTTTGTTCCAGGACAACTTTAGACCCACCTGTAGAGGATTCACCCCAGAGGTCTAAGCCAGAAAACCAACCGGTTTACTTGACTGCTCTAGAGATGATATCCTCAGAGGATATCACAGATTAGAATGCACGAGTTTTGGCGGGTGGAGACGGAGGATGTGCCTGGAAAACTCAGAAAACAAACCGCAGAAGAGAGTGGGTGGGTAAAGTTTCTTTTTGTTTATTTGAGGGAAAGAGAAGAGACCTATTTCAGCCAACTTTAAGAGTCCACTTGGGCGGCTTCCTCACCACCTTCGGCATTTAATAAAGGCTCACCGGGGACACCCCGACGCGACTCACTAAAATAATGGCGAGCTTCATTTAAGTAAAGCTCTTGTTATGAAAATGCCACTTGGGGACGGAACTGAACAGGAGTCCTTTTGAATAGACCCGGGAGGGCGCCAAAAAGCCAGATTGAGGAGGGTGTGTCACCGCCCGGGGTGGGTGACCGTGACAGGACGGGGATCCAGGTGGAGGGGAACCTGAGGACGGTCCGGGCCGGACAGGGATCCAGGTGGAGGGGAACCTGGGGACGGTCCGGGCCGGGCGGGTGGGACTCCTACCTTTGAGGGAGGTCTCCACCAGACGCAGGTACAGCTGGGAGCTCTTGTTGCCGTGACTCATGCGCTGGGCTAGCCCATTGCGTTGCAGGACGCACTCCTCAAACTGCACGACGTTCTGGTGGCGTCTCTTGAGGCTGGTCAGGGCCCAGAATTCAGCCAGGGCCAGTTCCACGTTCTCCGGGGCATCGCAGCGGATCTTCTTGACCGCCACCCGGGCCCCGCTGCGTCCGGCCACAGCCTCGTAAACCACGCCGTAGCTGCCGCGCCCGATTTCGGCCAACAGGCTATAGCGAGGCCGCGCCGACCCGCCGCCGCCCTCCGGCCGTCGTTGTTCCAGGAAGGCCTCGCCCGGGGCCTCGCCCGCCACGGGATCCATGGCCTGGGCCGCAGCCGCCGGCCTCAGCTTCGAGCTGGGCGCCCGCGGCACTGGGCTTCGCCTTTTCCGCTCGGGGCTTTGTGTACCTCTGCGGGCGCCGTCCTCCTTCCCTGTTTCCATGGCTTCGGACGGCGAGGGGAGCAGCAACGGCGCTGCCCGGGCCTCCCCTGCCTCATCCCTCCGTCCGGCCTCGGAACGTGAAGGAAAGGGACCTTGGATGGTGACCTGAGGGTGAAAGAGTCGGTTAAACCACAAGGCCGAGGCGGGGAGGCCGGGAGAGCAGGCCACGGAGCGTCCCACCCCGCCCCCTCCTCCTCCCGCCGCCGCCGCGGCCCCTTTAAGACGGAAGCCACCGCCGCGGGTTGAACGCCGGAGGGGCGGGGAGAGCGGGGCGGCCGGCACCACCGGGCCGCGGCTCGGAGGGGGAACCGGAAGGAGAAGTCGAGGCCGGGTGGCGTTTGCTCGTCGGCGCTCCGGGCAGGTACAGCGCCGACACCCACCCCAACGAGAACCGGACGCCTTCGGAGCTGACCCCCAAGCGGCCCTCG